TTTTCTACTATTGAACTCATTTATGTTATTTTCACTCATCTGTGGTTAAATTGTCTTGAAAGTACTGTTGAATTGTGTATATACATTCGATATACTGAGTGCTAACTTAAAAGCATTATTAGATCTTACTACTATTAAATTTGGTTATTTTTGTTTCGCGAATTTTATCCTCAAATTCTTCTATACACGTGCACTTCTAATGCAATAGCATTAGAATGCATTTATTATTGTATGATTATAGAGACATATATTTATATTATTTCCCAGTTAGTTTGTGCTGACAATATTAATAGGTATTCTACTAAAATGAGAATATTAACTCTTTGCTGTATGTTAAGATGCACTTAGTTTGTGAATCTGTTCAGAATCGGGGTTATGTCTTTTCCATATTTGGTGGTTTGTAGTTTGAATTACTTACATTTACATTTTTGTATTTCTATTCTAAATTTGGTTACAGTATGATTTCACACCCATGTTATCAGACCCACTTGTTCCTTAATTTAAAGGTAATTATGAGGATTTAAGAACGGGTGGGGAACACTTCATTGCATCTAATTATTATCGTTTTCAGGGATAGAATTTGATAGCTGCTACAACGAGTTTCACCAGCGCTACTGTAGGCGGGGTCAGTACCAGTAAACATTGAATCCTGAGGGTACATGAACGATTCCTCGTGATATGTCATTCACTCTTTAGTGATAATCTCAGCACTATGCGGGTAGACAAGTTAAATTTTCCCCCCACACGCCCTGTTAATACTTCCTAGATCGGTCAATGCTTGGGCATTATAAATCCATCCCCCCTGCAGGATTGGTGCTCCACAGTAGCGTGCACAGAAACATACGACAACAGTTCTCGTGAATTGACCATCTTAACACAATGTGAATCTATTGTTCAAAGGTCAGCTTCATGGAGCGGCATGGCCAGCATGCTTCTCTATATAACCTTTTTAATTTCACTATGTATGTAGCCCTACTCTCAATAATTAACTCCATCAGTTAGTGGATCTTCAAAACATATCAGGTGAGCTTCATGGTATATCTTCTTTATCCAGTTATACAAACACCCTTGTATCATGCATTAAGTTATTAAATTTATCCTAATCACTATGCTATTTTGACAGCCATGGAATTTGTTATTGCC